TACATTATACAGGCATCTGATATATGAAGGTAGGTGGCGTAAAATATGAATATATAAAACGTTATACAAGTCATGCGCTTTAGAATCAACCAATGGCGTGCAAGGTCCCACTCTGACACACGGCGGAGTTAAAACTCACCCCCCACGAATTGCCCGTTGAGAAGTTTTTCACATTTTCCCAAGATTTTTTTCAGCGCCTCGCACACGCGCCCCTCTTTATGGAAAGTCGCTCCTCAAAGAATATACGGGCCGCTAGAAAGGACTATGTGCCACGTCGCTTTTAAACATTTCTGAATTGAAAGTTAAACTTTGGCGCCTAGACTTTTTTTAAATTAACTTTATAAACAAAAGTTGAGTAGAAGATTAATAATTTTAAATTAAAACTCTTCTAAGAATAATCTAACCGGTTTGAAAGTACTATTGAAGTACTACTCGGTCAAACATCTCTGAATTTTGCAGTTTAAGAATAAAAATTATACCAAAAATTAAAATTGTAGTTTCAATTGAAATTGCAAAACAATAATAACATACAAAAAATTTCAACATATATAACAAATGGCAATGCTGAATGACAATCAATTTGCTAATTTCGAAGAAACTGCTGGACCAACCGTCGCGAAAAACTAATCAGCGCAAGTTCTGATCGAGTTTTATCAAATATTTTTAAAGTGTTTGAAATCGCCCATTTGTTTTGGGAAAACGCCGATAAAAATCAAGTATTTAGTAATGAGTACAAATTTCGTAACCATTTCTTTGGGTACCATAACTAAACTTATAATGTTCGAAGTTCATCTATATAGTTTAACAAAATTTCAAATACGGTATGGGAAATTCCAGCAATTTCCCTGAAGACACACAAGTTTCCATGTAAAAATAGCCCTTCCTTGGCATTGCATTACCAATAAAATTCATCTGTAGTACAATTGCAAATAATAATTTCTAATAAAAATAAATTCATCAAATATAAAGCATTTTATAAACAACAATACTGTTGAACAACAATACCAATTTCTTTTTTTAAAAAATGTATAATTTTGTTCGTAACAATATTTATTAATAATATAATACGTACCTACTAAAGTTGACAATATTTTTTTGAAATTATAAAATATTTGTTTTTATATGATACAGGCAAAACTGGCTATTGCCCTCTTGAAAAATATTTTAATTAATATTTAACATAGTGAAAAAAAAACTTTTTTGTTTTAGTTGTTTATGTAAGTATGTTAAATTAAAATAGTTAGTTATGTAAGTATGTTCGAATCACGTCTTATTAGATTCTGGAATATGCACATGCATAATGTAATTTTAAAAAAAAATATGTAACTTTTGAACAAAATTTTGGCTTTCATACACATACAATTTCATACACACACGCCCTTTTTCCAATTTTTGTGTCAAACGACCCAGAATGATTCTAACGACGAGAAAATATAAAATTTCTGGCAAAAACATAAACTCGAAATTTAAAAAAAAATGTAACGACACTACTATAAAAATTAATTTCAGTTTCTATTTGATATCATATATGTCTTTTATAATTATAAGTGACTGAAAGCAATATCTTTTCCTCCATTCATTTTATGAAGGCATTAAAATATTTCATTTTGAGATCCACCATATATTGTATATTCTCGCAGTGGAAAAGCAGCCTGGAAAATTCATGCCGGCATAGGAAAATGTAAGGAAAAGAGAAGTGCACATATAATACGTAGAACGTTATACACGTAAAACGGTATACACACGCCACGGGCATATGTATGAGAGAATAAATCTAGAAAGGAGGGTGATGTTCGCAAGGCGCTCGAAAGTGTGATTCGGGAGACAGGGAAAGCTCCAAGCTTTTGGAGCTTTGGATAAGAAGCTTTTTTTAAAGCTCGCTCCGTGATTGGTTTGAATCGGAGACTCGATTTACATACGCCCATTTCTACGGCACAAACTGTATGTACATACACATAGAAAAACTGAATACTCCGACACAAATATAAGAGTTTCGTCTATAAGAGTTTATATATTTGCTAAGTTGGAAAATTAAATTATTTCCAAACAAGACATTGCAAAACAAATCTGTTCTCAATTCTTTATTTAAAATGGTTTGTGATATATTTAATACCAGAGAGTGCAATTGAAAACGATGCAGTAGAAATCATTCTATCGAAAGTAGGGCACGGTATTTTTCCACAAAGTTCAATATTAATTTACAATTATACAGATTAGAAATGCAATCGAACAGATTGTTTGCTCAACAGTCTCGGTTTACTTACTCCAACGAAAGTAACACAAACAGAACATATAATGAAAATATAATTATTACGATTGATATAACATTTTTACAACGAGTAATTACAAAATTAAACGTATAGAAACTCGCTGTTGAATTGAAAATGAATGAATACAAAATTGTTAATTACTTTCTAAGAACTTACGGATTAATCAATAGAAGAAAGTAACAAAAATGTATACTATTGTTTACAAATTACATAAAATTGCTTAAAATTATATTATGCATGTGCATATTCCAAGAATCTAATAAGACGTGGTTCGAACATACTTACATAAACAACTATTTTAATTTAACATACTTACATAAATAAGTAAAACAGCAAAGTTTTATTAATAATAAAAGCATTTTTAATTATTTATAATATTAATTAAAATATTTTTCAAGATGGCAATAGCCAGTTTGGCCTGTATTAGATAAAAACAAATATTTTATATTTTTCAGAGAAATATTGTCAACTTTAGTAGGTATGTATTATGTTTTTGATAAATATTACTACGAACAAAATTATACATTTTTTATAAAAGAAATTGGTATTGTTGTATATTTGATGAATTTATTTTTATTAGAAATTATTATTTGAATTTCTAATACAGATGAATTTTATTGGTAATGCAATGCTAAAGAAAGGCTATTTTCATACGGAAACATATTGAAATAGTAGTGCATGACATAGTCTTCAGGAAAATTGCTGGAATTTCCCATAACGTATTTGAAATTTTGGTAAACTACATAGATGAACTTCAAACATTATAAATCTACTTACGGTACCCAAAGAAATGGGTACGAAATTTGTACTTATTACTAAATATTCTAAAATATTTGATAATTTGTTGTGCATAAGTCTAATAAATATTTTTGACCGCTGAATGGCTTTTTTTCTAGATCTCCAAAACCGCTGGACCTGTCTTGCAAAATATAAGGAATTCTTCAATCCGTCACTACGAGTAAAATGTTGGTTGAATTATTCTAATCGAATGATTCGTTCTCAATAATTTAAAATGCCATTTTTTGTAATATTTACCCCGAATCTTCAAAACGACAGGACCTGGCTTTGCCAAAAACTAATCAGCACGTCTCCCAATCAATACGGATCAAATGTTTTCCGAATAAGATCTCTGCTCTCGAAATTATGGATGAAAACTTGTATCCAAACATACATACATACTATACACACACACACAAAGACTTTGAAATGTAAAAATATGCAAAAATTTTATTTTCGATTTTTTTTGCAATTATTATAACGGTAAGTTAACAATCTCAGGCGTGAAAATTTAACTTTATAAACTAAAAATTTTATGATTGTAAAATACAAAAAAATATTATAGAAATTTAACTGGCAAGTGTAAAAAAACAATCCACTTCACAATATAATCTGCATCAAGTAAAATGTGTGTGAGGCGCTACAGATTATGTCCATCCATTGCAGTCTAAAACAAATCCCAAAGATCCTAAATAAAACATTACTCTTAATCCGATTATAAAAAAAGACTAACAAAAAACCCAACCCTACACAATCTGATTAGCATCCTCATTATGTCTTACGAACACAATCATGACGCATCTTGACACTTCGCCCGACACACACAAAGGTGCGTTTTAACAAATACTCTCAGACGCAATGCATGTGCCGCGGTGGCGCTTGCACACCGTCACATCATTGATTATGATAAAACTCACAAACACAGCCGGAAAGCGCTCTACCCGGGCTCTACATCTACATACGAACCGAAACGTTTCTGCATACATAAAAAATACTACGAACACACAAATATGATTCCGTGTGGAAACAACGTAGCTCGCGATCTCTCTTTCTCTACGAGCGGCCATTGGACGGCGGCCCCGGCACGTTAGAACCTCCCACACCGTAATTTCCTGAAAGACTACCGAAGAGGGGGCTCCAAACCGTCGCCCCCCGCGGACCACGTAGCGCCGACGGCTTCGAGAGTGCGCGCGAACCACCAAGATATCTTTTCTCTTCGGCGCGGCGTACTCAGTGCGCCGTCATACGCTCAACTCGCATGCACGTGATTCGTATCCGAAAGACAACGTGAGTGACGATAATAACAAAGTGACAAACGCAATATTATTGAGTGATACAAAAACATTATTAAATCACAATTAAACTGGACAATAATGTGGATTTGTATGTTGCCAAATATTGAGTGAAAAGTGTCGATTTTTTGCAATTTTTTAGCATGTTTGCTTTTTTTGATAAATTTCGAAACAACCACTTGCTCTATTCATTCAAATCAGTTTTTCAATATCACTTAAATTGTGCAAAATGTTAAGAACATTGGTGAAATTAAAGTTAGTGTATATAATTTTTTATTTGCCAATTTGCTCCCAAAAATGACTTGTTTGAAACATAAGTATATTTTTATAACAAGTTGTGCTTAGACGAATGTGATAAATTGCAAATTGCAAGTATTGTGCAAAAAAGAACCTCTTATTCTGATGACATCTTAGACAAATATTGTGATAAATAGCAAATTACAAGTACTGTGCATAAAAAGTGCAAGAAGAAACCTATTATTTTGATGATATCAACACATATCCAGGATTTACCACACACAAATTGGACTTATAGCAATTTTTCTAAATTTACTAATATTATACAGAACTTGAAATAACTACCAATAAAGTTGGCATGCGGAAAAATCTTTCCAATTTGATATCAATTTTCCATGAAGTCATTTATATTTATAATCATTCAATTGGCATTTTTCATTTGAATCATTATCGCGTTATTTTGAATCTGTGATATCAAAAACTGCACTCCACAATCAAACAAAATCATTTGGCAATGAGAAGACATTAAGATTGATTCACCAGTGCAAAATTTAAAAAAAAAAACATTTTTTATATCTCCTCCATCCCAGTAGTGATTTCCTCCTGATTTCGCCAGAGGTGGTTTCTGGATAGATGTTGTTGCAGGCGAGCAGGAACTACGCGCTCTCGGGGGCACGCGACGATTCCCCCGAATCGCAGCCACTTGATTTCACGATGCCGCGGTTCGATGCGGCCCTGCGCCGGTTGTTCAGGGACGGCGCCGGGGTTGGTGGCAATCAATTAGACAGGACGGACAGGGATAGAGATAGGAGAGATTATCAAAGGGACCATCATAGTCAACAACAACAATCGCCTACTCTTCAGGATATGCGGAAAGGTGAGATGTTTATTTTTGGCATAAGGGTAACAACATGTAAGGGTAACAACAATGAATGTGGGTTTATTTTAGCACGACCACAACACACTTTACAAGTTATATTTTCATTATATGCTTTATCATAAATTTGTCACTTGCAACAATTAGTACATAGGCTTCTTAAAATTGTATGATTATGTTCACCTTACTTTAAACATTAAATCTCACTTAATTATGATTTAAAACACCTTATTTACTTTATTAAATTTGTTACGTTCTAAAGATATTTAAGTTTCAAATTATAATTATCAACCATGTATAAGATTTTTAATCAACTTGAAATTTCACTCAGTTATTCACCAGACGGATAAAAAGATGAATATTTTAAGTAAATTCATATGAACATCTTGGCATCGTAAAGCACCTTAAGGCATCAATCAGCACGTCTCCCATTTAATAGGAATCGAATGTTTTTTGAATCATTCAAATTGATTGATCCATGCTCTCAACATCGTCGACGAACATTTGTATCTGTACATACGCACACACGCACACATACATACATCCTTTTTTTAAAGATACGCCAAAATGTTCAGAAGAACTTAAAACGTAAAGATATGCAAAAATGTTCATTTTCGTTTTTTTGCGATTAACGTAAGCTGAACTTATATGTCTATTGTTAATTTATTTATGGAAATAACGTTTTTAAAAATATTCATATTATAAATATTGTTCTAATTTGATTTATGTAATTATAAAACGAAATGTTTTTAAGTTTTTCATAAGATTTCAAAGAAACTCTATCACTCTAGAAATGTATATAAATCAAGTGTTTGATCCAATTAAGAAAAAGCTCAATTTGAGCTCATATATCTATTGTTAATTTAATCATAAAAGTAGCATTTTGATAAAGGTCATATGATTAATATATTTTTAATTTAATTTAATTAAAACGACATGTTTAGTTTTAATTGCAAAGTCTGCTCGCTTAGAAATATAAGCCTGCTTCTGAACTATCAAGACTTCAATTTATTTACTATGAATAGATTTTCAATATATTCATACTTCCATTAACTTCATAATTCCATTTCTACCAAGTTTTCCAAATTTCCTATCTCTTACAATAGGGTTTTTCAATCCACTCACTACATAATAATAACTCAATCAAAATTTTGATTATCAATTTAATTATGAAGATATCTCGTTCAAAAATTAAAACGCACTAAATTGTCGATATGTATGCAATAATCATTTTCCCGAGAATATGATTAAGCATCTACAATTATTCATAATTCGTAAATAAAATACGTGTCATGTATTTTGATAAAGAAATTGCTTCAGATAACAGAGGTGCACCGGTAGGTAAGAAAGATTGTAAATCAATCATAAAATGACCTCAAAAAGGACCTTATGTCGGTCGTAATCTAATAAAAATTGTATTATTGCACTAATGTCACGGTTTAGTGCTGAGGAATATTTTGCATAGGGTCATAAAGGTATAAAAGTTTTAAAATACGCCTAAAAAAATATTTAGCAAAATGGCTGGTAATAAAAATAGTTTTGCAGAACACAAATTGCTAATATAAAAAATATTGCACAAACTTTAAGTACATTTATATTTTAGTTTAGCTATTTAAATTTCATTTTAAGAATTCATAAGTAAAATGTTTGAAGTTATATTAAATGTTTTTCAGTAAGAATAAGTTTCTCAGTAGATATTTTAAAATTTTCTAGCACATATTTAAGAGTATTGCAAAATAGATGAATAATTTCTAAACAAAAAAAGATTTTTTAAAGAGAAAACAATTCTACAAAAAATGAATTAAATTAATAGTTATTCTAACTCTGATAAATATTTTGGAACAAATACCAGATCAAGGTTACGTAAAGTGTTTTCTTTATCACAAGATTCTCACTCAATATATATATTTAGCATTTGTCGGGTATTGTAGCTATAATTTTGTAAAATTTCTTTATAATTAAAAATAAGACATTGGATCTGTTTGCTCCCTGGCTGTCCCATTTTAATCCGCCTATGAGGTAAAAAGGGACAGTTGACAAATTTTAAAAAAATACTGAAAACACATTTCTCTAATTAGGAATGAATTTTACTGAACATAATATGATATCCAATATGTGTTATGTGTTATGATGTACTTCATTTGGTTTAGACAGTGCAATTATTTAAAGTCAAATTGGGCCTTTGTGCCCCGTCCTACCCCTATTCTATACACGAAAAAAAATAATGCAATAGTAACAACAAGACTCAAAAATAATTTAAATTCATTCGTATCGTTTATAATAATAATTCAATAATAAAATTTCTTAGCAAAAAGAATATTTTTGCAATTACAAAAATTAAGGTTTACAAACAACTCAAGAGTAAGAACGTTCTTGCAATTACATTCTTTATGATATTTTTTTAAAAGTATTTATCATTTAGATTGAACCCTGATTGAATGCATAAATATAAATATTTTTTTATATCTTATAAACACGATGAATATTATAATCAATATTTTATCATTATAATTTTATCCAAAACAATTTATTCGTAATCATCAATCTAAAAGCTTGTCAATCGTCGCCTCATTTGCTTTAATCAAAGTTCGTCCCATGGCTAATTATTTATGTAAGCGCAAAACTCTCAGCAAACCAAGTACATATACTTGATCATATATAAAGTTATGAGTATCAATATCCTGTGCGATAATATTTCTCAAAGATAAGATTAGGATAAGACACAAACATACAATTATAATAACAACTTGTGGATTTACACCTTGTTTACTCACACTACTTGTCAGGCCGAACGATCGGCACCTGTAATGATTCTTTTCGATTATTTGACTCATTTTTATAATCAAATATGTGATATGATAAAAAATGTAATCGTTACGTTGGTGAACGTATGGGCCAAAGTGTGAATTTCACTCAGAATTTATATTTGTTCTTGCTCTATTTTTTAGGTCGATTGCAATGAGAAATTTCATAATTAATAAATAATAATAAAGGGCATTGTTAAAATGCATATCCATCACATTAAGATATATAATCATTTCTATTTCAGATTGTTGCATCGTTGATTATTAATTTCCTCTAAGATCTTTTATCCCAAATCATATTTGCCATTATTTTCTTAATGGAACTCGAACTCGAATAATAATTGACCAGGATTAATTTCATTTTATTATTATCATAAAAAAATAAGAATGTTCAGTAAGAATTATGATACGAAACGAATTTTTACTATTTCCTTTATACCCAAATCAGATTCAAATTTATGGAGTGTACAAAAAAACAATTTAAATTTCTGCGACACGCAGATCTAATCGCGCCTTCGAATAATACTCATAATGAACTTTTTGTGTAGAAATTTTTGATGTGTCAAAGTAAGCATAAATAAATGTGAAATATACCTAACGTAATATGAAATCCAGTTATAATTTCGTGCTCGAGGTATATATTTTCACACGATTCATGTGTCTCCGGTAATAGCCCAATGATATCACGACATCGCATTCATAATTATATATCGTAGCACTCAAAAAATTACTCACATGTATGAGTATTAAATATACTTTATATGTCACATGCAAAGATACTGGTCCGAGTGGAACGACTAAAGGATTCGTGAAGAAATTGACTCGAGTTTTTGTTTCGTAAAATTTAAATTACTTACAATTATTTCAGAGAAATTTAACTGATTATATAAAACTTCTCGTGTGTAAAATTTTCTATTTAACAAAACAAATAGTATAATGGTAGTAATTATTATAATTGTTATGTTAAATTAAAATTTGAAGTATACTTGGTAAAAAAATTATGAACAAAATATTTGCAGCTAGAAATAATATAAATAATTTTTAAAAATTTCACATATACATACTTGCTAAAATAACTGAATGTAACATGAGTTTCATTACCAATTTATTAATAACATGATCTAAGAAGCTATTTGTACGTATCATCTACTAAATCCTGTTTCGTTAGAAATAGCAGAAAAGTGGCAATTTTTTTTCTGGCACATTAAAGTTAAATTGAAACTTCAAACTTCATAGCAACTATAAAACGTAAAAACATAATTTCGTATTATACAACAAATCTTTTCCCTTGTTATTATTTCGAGACGTACAAAAAAAAATTATTAAAAATATTTTTATTATCAGGATTGTATTCCATCCCAACTTCATTCAAAATACCCTCCCAAACCTTTAGTTAGGAATTCCAAAATAATTATTTCCAATCAAATAATTGACCAATAATTTCCGACGTCCCGCGGCTAATAAAAAACTGCCCACGTAAGATGCATGCACACGCAGAGGTAAATCAACCCCTAGAAAACAGCCAACCCCCAGATGAGAAAAAACAACTTGGTAATATGAGGGTGTTGTGAAGATTACGATATGCGATACCCGCTGGTAATAATAGGAATCGTTCAAAATGATTATCTATTAAGCGAGAAGGGTCTATATAGGAGGAATGGTTAATGCGAATTAACACGCGACACACCGAATAGAAAACAAAACGAGGAGTTCAGGTGGGAGAATGAGCAAAGTACATAAAAGCCAATAAATTATTGTGATTACATAAATTTAATTAAAGGTTGGTTAGCGATATCAAACTCCTTTCCTTTGTGCCTAAGTGCGACTTCACATGAAATGCTACTATTAATATTAAATCAGCAGCCGAGCAGAGGTTTCGGAATTCTTAAATGCATACATATTTTCAAAATTACAAGAAGCAAGCAAATTGATTTATTTACTGTTATAAATTCAAAATTATAACAACATAGCAATCCTTATATCATGATTAGGGGTCGAAATATGCATTAAGGGTTGTACAACATTTTGGCGACAATATCTATTATCGTTACCAATAAAAAATTCACAAATACTTTTACTATTATTCTTTTTCGAATACTACTAAAGATTGATTCTAGTTCTAGTTTATCTCGAATTTGTGATGTTGTGGGATAATGATTTTTACCCAAGAAGAATTTGTATAGAATAAAATATGAA